CATCCAAAACTGGTATTCATCCCTACTTGCAAGAATAACTTAAACTATCAGGGGAAAATGAAACGGGTATTAAAGAAAACGGGGGGTTCAATTCCTGCTCCGCTCAAACTGTAAATTAACCAGAGGGCTCGATCCTGCTTCAATTAAACAATATGTATTAACGAAAACGAAGGGTTCATGCCGGCTCCAAGCAAACAGTACGTAGAATGGGGTCCCTTGACCATCCAATCTTCTCACCAACAAATCAAGAGGGTCCTAAAGACAGTTCCCTTGATATAAAGAAGAGCTCAATGAAACAAGTTGTCACTGGAAAATCTCGGGTCCCTAGAGTCTAATCCTCCAAAGTGTTTTTAAGCTTACACACAATTAGGTGGCAGAATTAAATATTATATCCTGCCTGACTTGACTTACAATGAATTGAGACTATAACAATCACCAAATCTTTCAAAAAACCTGTACTGTAGTCCTACCATAGAGAACGATTACTCATGGGTGGTGGTAACCGTCTGTGGGATGCGGCGTTGAGGGTTCCCAAAGGTAGATTTGAGATGGAATTGAATCTTGATTCAGTAGAGTTGATCTGGCAAGGTCGCCCACTTGGGAAGGCTTACTCAGCCCTGTAACAACTTCAGACAGTATTACCCAGGCTTGCTCCTCCTCAGGAAAATTAGTGAATAGAAAAAGAAATAACAGACAAACAAACAACTATTTTGTAGAAAATATAAAATATAAAACACTTAAATATGAAAATTAATCCTACATTAAAGAAATGAAAAAGGAAAAATATAAATAACTGAATTCAACGCTAGTTTAACACTTTTTGGTGTCTGGGGTTGGTGACACTGCTTGTTGAAATCGTAGCCGTTTCTGATGATGGGGGGGGGGTCCCAGGTGTTGGTGACCACCACTGGCTAGTTCTTCACAGATTAACGCCGAGAGTAGTATCCCGATGACAGGAAAACAGGTTCTTTACCGCTGCAATGATGTGGGGTTACATCCTGCAATTTTTATACAGGGGCACAGGTAATTAGATCCCCAAAAAGGAGAAGTCTCTGGACGTTAAGTCCTTCTCCTGTTCTTCTCGTTGTTGACAGGTGACCCTCACTGTCATCCAAGCTGAAAAGATAAGACAGGTTACCCACTGCTTAAATAATCACCTCCATGGCAGTGTACATTACTCAAAAGATTTGGTGATTATTACAACAGTCAACCTAGAGCAAGACTGAAAGGACTAATTTTATTATTGGTCAAAAGTGAAGCTTTTAACCAATAAATCCACTAGAATACAAAGGGAGGCATGTACTTACAGTAGTGTTGGGAGCTGCGAGTCGAGTGATTTACTGTTTGACCAGAGCCCCATACGTCACCTTTCGAGGGGGGGAAGAGGGAGGGGGAAAGGGGTAGCGGGAGCTAGACTGACCCTAAAGTTAACAAGCAGCCGGCAATCAAACTATCACTTTAGGGGGGGGGGGGGGAGAAAGGGGGAAAAAAATGGGAGCATGACTTTCCCTACCTTAACTAGTACCCGGCAATGAAACTATCACTTTCCGGGAGGGGGAAGAAAGGCGGGAGCGTGACTTACCCTACCTTAACTAGTAGCCGGTAATGAAACTATTGTTACTATATTGCTACTCCTATCTATTGAACTTTTCCCTCACATACCTCTATAACAAGCACTGCCCTAAAAAAAACTAAACAGATGACAGCTAAGAGACTGAACAGTCCCTGGCTAACACCCAGCATTCTCAAATCCATAAATACAAAACACCTATATGAAAAACAGTACAGAATGGGTCACATAACCAGAGACCAAACAAAACGTTACTCGTCAATCCTAACCAGCCTGATAAGAAGGGCAAAAAAATTGTATTATGAGAACAGATTATCCAACTTACGAGGTGATATAAAAAAGACCCGGAAAACCCTATCAGAAATTCTAGGAACAAAGAAGATATCACGAAATGGCGAAATTAAATTAACAAAATCAGATGAACCCCAACTCCCACCAACTGAAACAGCAAACAGACTCAATGATTTCTTCTCCACTATAGGAAAAAACTTTGCCAATAAAATCCCAAGCTCAGATACCCCACCCAATGACTATCTCACTGGCAACTACCCGAACACACTGTTCCTAGCTCCGACTAACCCATACGAAGTCTCCCTTATTATCAACAAACTAAAAAATAAGACAGGAGATTTAAATACCTTACCACCCTTTATATGCAAAAAAGCATCAAGTGCTATCACCAATCATTGCAACACTCTTTAACAAATCCATTGAATCCTCTACCTTCCCTACAGTTCTCAAAATAGCAAGGGTCACCCCAATCCATAAAGGAGGAGACCAAACAGACTTGAACAACTATAGGCCAATATCCAACTTACACCCTCTCTCTAAAATCTTATTGTCACACTATGGTATAAGAGGGCACTCCCTCAACTACCTCAAGTCATACCTCAGCAACAGAAGCCAATATGTGTACACAAATGGGGCAAACTCTTCCTCACAGCCAATTACAGTTGGTGTCCCACAGGGAAGTGTCCTTGGCCCTCTTCTCTTTCTCATATACATAAATGACCTACCAAATGCTTCGCAATTACTCAAACCCACACTATTTGCAGATGACACTACATACATCTTCTCTCGCCCAAGCCCAGTCCTGCTAGCCAATACTGTAAATAGCAAATTACAGAAAATATCTACCTGGATGAGGACTAACAAACTTACACTAAACATTGACAAAACCTACTTCATTCAGTTTGGTAACAGAGCTACAGATGTCCCTCTTAACATAATGATAAACGCATCACCTATCACAAATCTCACAGAGGGAAAATTCTTATGAATCCACCTTGATAATAGACTCAAATTTCATACACATATACAACAAATTTACAAGAAAATTTTCAAGACCGTAGGCATACTATCGAAGATACGGTACTATGTTCCACAGTCAGCCCTCCTGGCCCTATATCACTCTCTTAAGAACATAACAACATAAGAATGTAGGAACACTGCAGAAGGCCTACTGGCCCATACGAGGCAGGTCCTTATCAAAACAACATCTACCTAAAGCTACCCAAGAAATAACTCCCGTACCCCATGACACCAATCAAACCCAGCCCCTCTCACTCATATATTTGTCCAGTCTCTTCTTAAAGCTACCCAAGGTCCTAGCCTCTATCACCCCACTAGGAAGACTGTTCCACGCATCTACAACTCTGTTAGAAAACCAGTACTTACCTATGTCCTTTCTAAATCTAAATTTATCCAACTTAAATCCATTATTCCTGGTTCTTACCTGGTTCGACACCCTCAGTACTTTATTAATGTCTCCCTTGTTTATGTCCGTCATCCATTTATACACTTCAATGATATCTCCCCTCATTCTACGCCTCTCCAGAGAGTGGAAATTTAAGGCTTTAAGTCTATCTTCATACGGGAGGTTCCTCATACAGTAAATCATTTTAGTCATTCTTCTCTGTATGTTCCCTAATGAGTATGTCCATCCTGTAGTAAGGGGACCAAAACTGAGCAGCATAATCTAAATGAGGCCTCACTAGTGATGTATAGAGCTGTAAAATAACTTTTGGACTTTTGTTACTTATACTTCTTGAGATAAATCCAAGTAATCTGTTGGCCTTGTTGCGCACACTAAGGCACTGCTGTCTTGGCTTTAGATTTCTGCTCACCATGACTCCCCAAGTCTTTTTCACATTCTGTATGACCAAGCTCTACTTCACCTAGATTATAGCTTCGAGGGTTATTTTCATTATCAAGGGCAAGTACCTTACACTTATCCACATTAAACTTCATCTGCCATTTTTCAGACCAAAACATTAATTTGTTCAAATCGTCCTGGAGTTCATTGATATCCTTCTCAGAGTGAATTATACGGCCTATCTTTGTATCATCAGCAAACTTACTCATGTCACTAGTAATCCCTTCATCAAGGTCATTAATGTAAATTATGTAAACTATGGAATTTGTGCATGGGGCTTAACAACAATAAATTATCTCAGACCACTAATTACCCAACAAAAGGCTGCAGTCAGAATGATAACAAATTCCCACTACAGGCAGCATACTCCACCAATATTCAAAACTCTAAACCTACTTACCATACAAAACATCCATACTTATTACTGCACCTATTACATACATAGAACACCTAACTTTGATATAAACCCTCCCCTCAAATGTCTCCTTACGAACCTCAACAGAACATATGACCATAACACAAGGCACAGATCACTCTTTGATGTTCCTCGTGTCCATCTTGCGCTATGCAAAAACTCAATGCACATAAAAGGCTCTAAAATCTGGAATTCAATACCTGTAAATACAAAAGAAACACTATCTGTTTATAAATTCAAGTCTCTTCTCAAAGATCACTTACTCACCCACAACCAAATAAATACTGAATAATTGTATCTTATAAATTGTATATTTTAAATGTTTCTCATAATTGTATCACATAAATGTTAAACCTAAGACCCAATCAAACTTTGTTATTTTTTTATTTACACTACCTAACAGAATATCTACAGAATGTACAGCAATGCATGCAACCATATGACCTGTCTTTGTAATACTCATTTGTGCATAATTGTTATCTGTTTACAATAATGTTTTACCACTGAATACATCATTGCTTAGTTAATCTTAAGTTAATTTTAAGCCTGCCCATAATGCTTTGCATACAAGGGGCTTTGGCATGCTGCACCTAACTGTATTCTTTTGTACTTCTCTGTATCATGTTCAAATTAATAAATAAATAAATACGTGGTTCCTAATTAATGACGAGGCTTAATTGATGGTAAACTTGGTCACTGACAGAAGTTTGTATTGGTAATGATGGTGGATGCACGATATGGTGGAATGATACTTTGACTATATCTGGGACTATTACTTACCCTATACCATCCTGTCTTCTGCAAAATTATGGATTGCAAACTACTTAATGAACAAAGAAGAGAACTTTTACTAGACCCACCAGGAGTGTTAGCACTTCAATGTTTGATGGTGACATGGTGAAATCAGTACAGGACACCCAATTACTTATGTCCGCTTCAAGACCCGAACACACCCAAGGTCAAAATGCTGGTGATGCCCTGGAGTGATGTAGCCAACTGATGGGAAAAAAAAGAGGGATAAGCAAGCTCCCTCATCATGTCAGATTTCAATCAATATACCATTCATAAATAACAAAAAAAGGCACAATACCGTGACTGGAACTATACATAAATATTCCGCACATAGAAGAGAGGAGCTTACGATGTTGTTTCGGTCCAACTTGACCATGAACCTGATATTCTGGTGTGTCCTATCATATCCTCTAGAGGTTCTCTCATTCTCTTGCTTCTTGGCTGGTCAAAACCTTCACCAACTTTCTTCTCTCCCAAACTCTCTACTCCTGGGAAGTTTCCTGCCCTTTGCCTTCCCTACATTTCCGGTCTTTCTGATCTCGACAACTCTCTCCGTTCCTTAGACATCAAACTTACTTTCTGCTAGACTAACACTCTTCGCACTAATCTTGTTCATGCCTCTCATCCTTATATAGATGCTCCTGGTGTCTGCTCTATTTCTTGTTTCTCCTGTCCTCTTCAGTATTTTGGAGAAACTGGGCAATCTCTTTCTGACAGACTTAGGGAGCACAAAAGTAGTGTTAGGCTTGCTGACACATCAAGATACCACAGCCATCCTATTGACTAATTGACTAGTCTTCTGCTTAAACTGTCTACCCTACTTCCAACTTTCACAATTGCCATCTGGTTGAATCCTCCCAAGATACGATAGGGAGGCCAAGCCCATGATGACACTCTTCAGGTCACTTGTTCTATCTAGGCTGGAATATTGCTGCACTCTAACAGCACCTTTCAAGGCAGGTGAAATTGCCGACCTAGAAAATGTACAGAGAACTTTCACGGTGCGCATAACGGAGGTAAAACACCTCAATTACTGGGAGCGCTTGAGGTTTTTAAACCTGTATTCCCCGGAACGCAGGAGGGAGAGATACATGATTATATCACCTGGAAAATCCTAGAGGGACTAGTACCGAACTTGCCCCACGAAAAAACACTCACTACGAAAACAAAGACTTGGGAGACGATGCACCATCCCCCCAATGAAAAGCAAGGGGGGTCACTAGCACGTTAAGAGAAACCCTACAATAAGTGTCAGGGCCCGAGACTGTTCAACTGCCTCCCAGCACACATAAGGGGGATTACCAGCAGACCCCTGGCAGTCTTCAAGCTGGCACTGGACAAGCACCTAAAGTCAGTTCCTGATCAGCCGGGCTGTGGCTCGTACGTTGGTTTGCGTGCAGCCCGCAGCAACCCCCTGGTTGATCAGGGGCTGATCCACCAGGAGGCCTGGTCACAGACCGGGCCGCGGGGGCGTTGACCCCCGAAACTCTCTCCAGGTAAACTCCAGGTACGTGCCGCAAACTGCCCTTCTCACACTATACCATTCACTTATATATCCATACCTCACCTATGCTATCTGTGCTTGGGTTCAACTGCAGCAACACACCTAAAGCCAATAATAACCCAACAAAAAGCCGCAGTAAGAATAATCACTAAATCCCATCCCTGGCAACACACCCCCCCCACTCTTCATAGATCAAACTTACTCCCTA